TTGTCTTTGAAAAGTACCCTAACTTTAATTGTTAATTGTTAATTGAAATGATTTGTATTCACCGCAAAGAGGCCTGTTTTTTAAATCTAAGAATGACTGTCCCACTTTACCAAACAAACTGTCCCACATTACCTGAACATGCTGCTCGAACGAAAGAGGGTGTCATGTTATGTTTGAAGGTGTGTAGCTTCTAAAAAAAGATTGTATTCCCACTGAATTCAAACATAAAATGTTAATAAGGCCTAAAATGATTTAATGAAACATCATTGGAGCAAGTAAATAGTTTTTATATAAGTCTACCGGAGCATCTACCAAAAACTGTCCCACATTACCTGAATTCACCCTATGTCTTCGCGCAGACGCAGTGAGGGATAAATGCACGGACGTTGGTGAATCGGCTCGTGGCTCTGCTTCAACTGTGCCAATGTCTGTGCCGGTGTGCCGGATTAACTGGTGTTGAATCAACTGGTGAGACAGATGTGTGGTAGGCGTGGCCTTTGTGAACCCGCTGTCAGCTAACCAGGAAATAAACATTGCGATCGCTTCGCGTCTGTATTTCATTCATCTAAAGCTGTCGTTTGCAACATTATGATACAGTATACTGGTCTGGACATCATTCGCATTAATGAATCGCCGTTTCCACTGATGTTCTCCAAAGACACATTGAGCCACGGAGATGTCAAGCCAAGACGAGAGCCAGGAGAGCACGATTCCCTGTGACATTCAGCAAACACTTAACAATAACGTAATAAAAACCTGAATGCATCCAAAATGTGAGCGGGTTGATATGTTAAACTCACATGATTTAAGTCTATAGGCTACAATACTAACGTTAGTCCGTGCCTCTGATGATTAGCGTTTCCTACACCTGTGCGCACCTGTGCATCCAAATCGCTTTTAAATTAGAGTTCACAGTCATGTGAAATGTTTATGAATGAGTTTAAATGAACTGTAAAGAATATCGCTGTGTTGAGCGAAATTACAGTGTGTAGCATTTGGTGTAAAACACGATCGATGATAGTATCACAAGTTAATCTGAGCGGATCACATGTTCCCACAGTGAGCTGCTCCACACTACACGCCAACACTTGTGACTGTATGTGTAACTCACAGGCTGTGGGATAGAGCTTAGATCGGGCCCAAAAAAATCCAGCCCGACCCGGCCCGAGCCCGTGCACGTTATGTCCGGGACCGGCCCGGCCCGTCCAATTAACTGTAATTATGGGTCCGAGCCCGATTTAAACCGACATTTTTCAATAAGTTGGCTGTTATACCTAATTAAAAGTATTAAACCACAAGTCTTGTTATTTGAATGACAGAAACATAGGATCTTAATGAATGGCGCAACACGGAAGCATGATTATGTAGCTAATAAAACAGGTGTTTATTTTAGGATCCAGGTGGTGAAGGGGTGTGTGCGCACAATGTTGCAACATTGTAACTGAGGGCCGAATTCACAAAAGGATTGCGTGGCTTTTGCGGCCACTAAACCGGTAAAAATGGAGCAAACAGATACGGTCTAATTCACAAAGCACGCGCAGAGGGTGAAATGCTCCACTAACTGCGCTGCCAAGCAGATTGTGTCTCGGTGCTCCGGTGTCATTTGCACGTATTGAAATGAGGTAATATGCATATATTTGGCAGAAAATCGGCCATTTCTATGCAAATGAGCCTCGTTGATAAACAACGTCTAATTCACTAACACCAGCGCTAACAGCCACACGCAGTTTGAGTGAAGTAGCCTAACGTGTTTAGAAAGCTGATGCAAACTGGGCGCTCCTCTGTGGAAGCCTCTCGCCCAGACTTTCCAGTGATCGTGGCAGCAGTGATCGTCTGTTAAATCAGTCTGTAAATAATATTTTGACATTATTATTAGGCCCTATAATCATTATTACTTTAATGGCATCCGAAGATACTGATGCGTTGATCAGGTGACAGTCTGCGGTCGTTCTCAAAACGCACTTCTGTCACTCACTTCAAAAGCAACTTTCAATAATTTATTTTACGAAACGGGGGAAACAAACGTGAACAAAAACGGTTCCATAATTCATATTAAATTCAAAAGATAATGAAAAAACAGCTTCAAGTGAGAGGGAATAGTGATAAAGTGGTCAAACTTGGTCAAATCCACAGCCTCAACCCATCCGACACTGTTAGACTGACTCACCAGCAGACATCACTACATGAGGGTATACAGTATTCAGTACTTTGCCAAACAAAGTCTGCCATTGTTCTGCCACGGTGTTCTTGGCGCAAAGCCAGCACTTAAACTTTGCCATGTGTGGCTTATTGCAACCAGGGGCAAATCAGGGGCAAACTGCTCTCAGCTGCCAAACTTTGCGGGCGTGTTTGCGCTAGTATATCATTAGCGCAATATCCTTTGTGAATAGGACGTTAAGACGGAGCAAACTGCGGGTGCAAGTGAAGTGCAATTCAAGGTGCTTTCAGCGGCCGCAGTTCATTCTTTGTGAATTCGGCCCTAAGTTTGTTGTAACTTTATGGGTCATACAAAGTGTGGTTTAATTTTACTTTTTATAATACTGTAGCGTCCGCCAGGACGTGTGGAAAGGATGACGCAGTTATTCGGCAAACCACCATTTATTACTGAACAGTACAGGTTACTGTTGGCCGTAACCACGCCAAAACAACCAACAAACAACAACTT